GAACTGGTGAACACCCCCATCCTGAAGATCAGCACCCGCCACCAAGTTCGTAGAGAACGAGGGGAGGTGAAGACCAGACAGCGAGCCGGACGGAGCCGCAGGACATGGGAGAACAGTGGAGGAACGGGCCACAACTGGTTCCCCAGAGGGGTCAGCCAGAGAGACTGCCACCGGCCGACTGAGCGGCGAGAGTGTGGTGCAGTCGCGAAAGAAGGAGCGGGAAGCACCCGAGTCAAGGGTGAAAGTGTGCAAGACCTGAGCCGACGCGGTACCTGAGAGAGCAGCCTCACCAGCACCTGGAGCAGCAGACTCACTAGCACCTAGAGCAGCAGCCTCAATGCCCGGGTCGGGCGGAACACACAGGTAACATTCACCCTCAGCACTAATAGACACAGCATACATAGCAGCAAGGATAGCATCATAGTCAAGATCAAAGATAGCAACCCCCGACTTAAGCGGAATATCCCAGCGAGGGATCTCAGTGGAGCCAGGGAACTGTGTACGCCAGGCGTCAGTCAGGCGGCCGAAGCAGCGTGGCGTGGTGTGCGGGCCGCCGCACGTCTCTCCACTGCGGTCGCCGGTGCGAAGAACGTAAGTGCAGGGACCAGCACCCCCAGACCTGCCACGCCCAGCGTACCACTCACGGAGCTGCTGAGGCGACGGGGTCTCACGGGAGCGCTGCTGCTGCTGGCGCTGGCCACCGCTAGAGCCTCCCCGCTGCCCACCACCGCCCCCGCCACCCCCACCTCCGCCGCCGCCGCCGCCACCTCCACCCCCACTGCCGCTGCCTCCGCCTCCTCCACCTCCACCGCCGCCACCGAAGCCCCCACTCCCGCCACCACTCCCACCTCCAACCCCATCCCCTCCGCCTCCTCCACCGCCACCACTGCCGCCCCCGCCATCCCCTCCACCCCCCTTGCCCCCCTTGCCCTTGCCGTAGCGGCGCTTCCCACTAGGGGCAGACGCAGCGCCGACCGACTCCGTGCCAACGAGGTCGACAGCAGCAGCAGAGGCAACCGAGGGCAAAAGAGGGACGGGGGAGCACCCCTCAAAGAAAGGGGCACGAGGGTCACCACGAGAGGCTCCTACAGCGACTATACTCTTCTCAGCTGCAAGGAGGCGCTCCTCGAGGAGGTCAACGGTGAGCGTGTTGGGGCAAAGGGAGAGGAAGTGGTCCCTGACCGAGCTAAGGGAGTCAGGGAGCCGGGTGACGAGATAGTAGAGAGTGATGTACATAGGGGGGGGGGTTCTTGGCGCAGAACTCGGCAGGAAGCGCAGCGCGGTAGCGGGTGTCACTAGTGCGGAGGTGCGTAATGAGGTCAGCGACTGTGGCAAAAGCGGCTAGGTCAGGGAACAGGTACGGCAGCATGAGACGGCTAAGGGCAGCAGTGGCAGGGGAGGAGTAGCGCGCAACAACAGCAGCGTACAGAGTGCTAGCAATCTTGTACTGGCTAAAGTGCGCGCGCTCAGCAGACGGCAGGTGACTACGGACAGCAAGACGGGCAGCAGCATCGTGCGTGGTCCACTGTGAGCGAACAGTACTGGCAGCATCAGCAGCAGGTGCAGCAGAGGCGCCAGAAGTGAGGTCAAAAAGTGAGACTCCATCCTTGCTATCGCACTGCAGGAACAGCTGCAGATCATCGACCCAGACCTCAAAATCAATCGCTCGACCCTCAGCATCGAAGGTGAGTACGTTAGGGCTGGCCATAGCAGCAGGAGCAGCAGCAGTGGCCTAGCGGCAGCAGCAGTAGCGCGACTCGGCAGGGCGGCGCGGCTCGGCAGGGCGGCTCGGGCGCAGCAGCGCGCGGGTGCGGCGGTGCGCTTACCAGTGGCGGCAGTGGAGGGCCGGGGCGCGTCGGCAGGGCAAGGGGCCTCGGCGAGGCGGCAGGGCAGGGCCGGGACAGCAGGGCCGGCAGGGCGGCTGCATGCTCGGCAGCGGCAGCAGGGCTGCTACGGCGGCAGCAGGGGCGACGGCAGCTGCTGCAGGGCAGGTGGCCGCGACAGTGGCAGCAGGGGCGGCGACGACGGGGCGGCAGAGCCGCTACGACGAGCAGGCGGGCGGCGAAGGGCCGCGAAGGGCCGCTAGGGGGCCGCGAAGGGCCGCGAAGGGGCCGCGAAGGGCGGCGAGGGGGCCGCGAAGGGCCGCGAGAGGGGCCGCGAAGGGCCGCGAAGGGGCCGCGAAGGGCAGCGAGGGGGCCGCGAAGGGCCGCGAGAGGGGCCGCGAAGGGCCGCGAATAGGGCCGCGAAGGGGCCGCTAAGGGGCCGTTAAGGGCGGTAGGGTGGGCCGCTAAGGGCGAGAGGGTCGGCCACTAAGGTTCGCGAAGGAAGGGCGGGCTGCTAAGGGCGATGCGCGCTTCGGTTAGGGTAGGAAAAAAAAAAATTCGACGTGGTGGGCCCAAGGGAAAACGGTCCTACTAGGGAACCCGCTCTATACCATGTGAGAATTAGCGAGGAAATGATTGAACTAGAAAGGAGATGGGTACATATAGGGAAACCTAGAAATGCTGTACCCCCTATTGTCTAACCCACTACAGCCTAAACAGGCTATAACATATGTTTGACACGGCCAGCTTGCAACAACACCAGGCACGCAGTGTCTCACGAGTTGTTTCCGAGGTGTACCTGCCTCGATTTCCCTCGCCGCCTGCGTCCCACTTCTGCTAAGTGCGATATGGCCACTCCGCTTTTCGTTGCAGCCCGTAAGTGTCGGCGAGTCTGAAGTCCCGTCTGTCCACGAGCACTTCTGTCGAAAATATTCGATGACGCGCCCGCCATGCAGTAAAAGCTGCTGCACTTCAGGTCGGGCGGGACGACAGTTGACCCCGCATAATTCGGGCAATTCGCGTGTCGTCTCTCCTCGTCCACCGACATTTTCGGACGCAAAACTCCATTTGCGCCTGGCGAGTTCCTCAGCCGACCTTTTCTCCACAGTAGTTCCGAAATTATCGCCACAGTGACGCATGTCCCTTGTCGCCAGCTGCCGAGCCACACTCCGTGAGTCACGCGCGCAAAATGACGACGAGCCACCGTTGTCACTTGCCGCATGGGACGACTCCGAAGTTGTCGCGCAACTGTTGACTCAGGTCCGAAGGCGTCAACTGCCACACACGCTGACGACTTCCGAAAATTTCGTGCAGGTGCCGACGCAGGTCCGCTGACGCCAGCTGCCTCACAAGATTCCGAAATCGTCGTTAAAACCGCAGCGGAATAGTAACTCACGTTTAATGTCGCGACAGCTACAGCTGTCCGTTGCCCGGGGGGAGGGAGGCCACGGTCGATCGCGACCGTTCGAGGCAAGGATCTGGCGGTGCCGAAGGAGTACCCGTAAAAACATAGCCGCGAGGAGCAACTAACTAGTTCTCCTGGCCGGCCTACGCAACTCCTGGACCCCAAGACATCCTTCCTCGTCCCCCCCCCCGAGGGGTATTACACTCTAAAAAGCGGGGTGAGCTAGGAAAGTAGCTCTGATACCAGGTGTTATGAATGAACTTGCAGAGTGCGCAGAATATCGAATAACGCGAATGAGAATTACAGAATGACGATACAATGAGAATGCCGAGGCCTAAATAGGGGAAAAGCTAGCTAGGCGGGGAGGTCGGGAAAGGATGGCTCGGTGATGGTTGCGATTGGAGCGGGGGCCGACTCGGGAGTGGTTCGGCCGACGAAATAGGCCGAACAGGTTCGTCGCGTGACCCTCGGGATGGCCTCGCTAACGAGTGCCTCCGTAAGGATTCGTAAATCCTTACAATTGGCCTTCATTTGTAACTTAGTCGGATCTTCGCTATTAGATATTCCGCTAAATTCTCAACTCGAGTCCACCGACTCCCGACTGCACAAGTCGCAAGCCGAAGCTGAAGCACCGTAGCCCTTTGGCAGGACGGAGTTTGGAGGGCAGGAAAGTTTGGGATTTGTTTGCTTTGACTCCGAAGAGGTGAATGCAAGAGCAGGCAAACCCTAGAAAAGATCTGGAAGGGAGGCGAGACGAGTGCTATGACACCCCCGTTGACAAGACTTCGCTTCACTGACAACAGCATGACCCACATTCCACCCCAAGCAAGAGTATTCTAGAAAAGCAGAATCTGTTACACGCTATCGCAGGCCCCATCACGGTCGGCCTATGCGAAACCTAGATTGCCAGCGTCGTAGGCTTGCACGCGATCCCGCTAGTGCACGCGGCTCGTATGTCGTCAATCGCGGCGCGAAGGAATACACCGCATCATCGGAGAGGAGTACGCGAGCTAGCGCGCCGTACGGCGAACCAGAGGCCGAGGAGAGGATGGCCTTCGTAAATCCACGTTGTAGACTCCGCCAACATACCCAGGTTGGGAAACGCGCGACTAGCAGACACGGTTTTGGCGTCACTGGCCTCGCTGGTGGTCATGATGGCGAGCCGATGGGTTGCGCAAACCGTCGCGGCGCTTGCCGCGGCCCAGAAACGCGCAGCCACGGTATCTGTGTGGCACTGCTCGAAAAAGGGGTGGCCTGAGTCAGAGCAATCTCTGGTGTTAGTATGGCCTGCGCCGCGTAGCTGCATAGTAACGTGTCAATACGTGCCGCCGCAGCGTGTGCTCGTGGAGCCCTTCCTGCCCTCCTGCCATGCTTCCCGTTCCGTTCATTCGAACCCCCCCTCTCGCGCTCGTCACCCCGCTTTATAAAAGGGGCAAGGACGCTCTTTTTCGGGCGGGCCAAGCAAGCCCGCCCCAGCGCGTGCAGCAGTGCTGCGGCAGCAGGTTGATCCTTGGAAAGTAGGCCGTGGGCTCTGAGATTCGTCCCCCATGTGCGCCCATGTGCCCGCGTGTCCCCGTGTGCTCTCCCGCGCTGCACGTTCGCCGCCACTCCGTGTTGGTCTCGGATGGATGGCCGTGGGCCGTGGCACTGAGATTCATTCTCCCTGTGTGCCCATGTGCTCCCCATGTGCCCCCATGTGCCCATGTGCTCCCCATGTGCCCCCATGTGCCCCCTTGTGCCCCTGTGCCCCCTTGTGCTCTCCCGCGGTGCAGAGAGCAGCCCCAGCGCACGGCATGTGCCGTGTGCTGCATCCCGCATGGAGGCGACACCGTGTGCTGCTGCTGCCGCTGCTGGCAGTGCTGTGCGCGTGGGGGGGCGTGCCCGGCCACGGCCAGTGGATACAGGAATCCCAGAGTACGTCCCTGCACTGCTGCCTGCCTCTCCCCGCCCTGCCTGTCATGGCTGTGGGAGGGCATGCACTCACGCGCGCACCACTGCGTGTTAGCTTTTCTTGGCATGAACAGAATGGCGTGAGTCAGTAGGACTCAATCTCACTTCCACCCTGCAAGCTAAGTAATTTGGATCTTGTAACGTTCTCCCGCATACACCCTTGCATGGCCGTTTATCATTCACCCTTTGTCCCACAGGGCAAATCCGTTCCTCTCTTCCACCCCCGCGACCCCCCCACCCACCCCATGCTCACTGTTTTTCTCATTCCATTCAATCTCCCCCGCCCGCCCGTGCGTAATATCCCCCTGGCTGGCGGGCGTCACACGCAGAGGCGGTGCTGAAGGCCCTGCTGGGCGAGTGGGGCACGTTCCCTCTCAGCAACTCGTGGGTCACCGGCACCGTGTGCTCGCAGATGCTGGGCATCGCATGCACCCCCGATGGCTTCATCACTCGACTGTGAGTCCCCTCTCCTCTCCTCTCCTCTCCTCTCCTCTCCTCTCCTCTCTCACCACCTTGCACCTGCTTGCAGTAGTCGGCGGTCACGCTGTATGGGTGCAGGGAGAGGCAGGGCTGTGTGCTGCGGACGGACCAAGATATGCACGGCACGCATGGAGTGGGTGGCAGGAGTTGGAATATTCACAGCCCGCTCAAGGTTGCTGTTAGGGCACGTGCGTGCTCCATTGAGATAGAACTGCCGTCGCTGCATGCAGTGGCAGTATTGCCATTGCCACATGCAGTGATGTCAAGGCAAGGGGTCGGCCCTGCCTAAGAGGCTGTCTAGGAGCCGGGAAGTCAAGGGGGCGGCCCTGCCTCGCCGCCGAGACATGCCGACCTGGGATTGCCGCTCAGGTAGCCACGGGCTGGCCACCAGCTGGCTGCGAGCTGGCTGGAGGCGAGCTGGGGTAGCATAACCGTGGCTTGGCCCGCCCGCCGTTATACGAGGTGCGTTGGTTGAACCGCGGCGAAACTTGGGCACTCGCTCATTCCTAGTACCACCCTGCCCATTTGCGCTGGTATTACCTCTAGCTGGGTGTGCCTCCCTCTCATGCCCCACTCCCCCCTTGTCGCTGAACACTTTCCCTGTTGTCGTGCCTGTGGTGCCACCACACCAGGGAGCTCGTCAGCCAGCCTCTGGGGAAGCCCATCCCCGATGCACTGAGCGGCCTGCACTCCCTCAAGTACCTGTGAGACCACCCATGCGCTCACCCCCTCAACACGGTATCTTATTCCTCTGTGTTTCTCGCTTCTCATTCCCATCCTCCTTTAAGACTTTCTGCCATACACAGCCAAGTCCTGTTCCACTCCACTCCACTGTGCGAGCGCCGAGCGCATGTTGGAATATACTCGTATGGCGTGTACTACTAGGGTTGGGCAAGACGGATTGCGTTTTGTTGCTTCAAGCTCCTGCCCACCACTCAAACAATAATTTCAGCTCTCAACATGTGTAATGTGCTGCTCGAGTGTTTTTCGCTGACTCTCTCTCTGCCCGTGCCCATGCCTGTGCCTATGCCCGTGCCTGTACCTGTGCCGGTGCCGGTGCCTGCGCCTGTGCCGGTGCCGGTCGGTGCATGCGACATTCTCCATGCAGTGTTCTGGTTGGATGCCAGTTGACGGGTTCGCTGCCCTCCGCCCTCTTCACCTTGCAGAGCCTCACATACATGTAAGATTGGCACCGCTGGTAAGCTTACATGCACCGGTACTGTGCTGTGCAGGAGGGCTGTTTTGAACGAGGCGCGGGCATTGAGGCACATGACCAATGGCAGGTCTGGGATCGTACAGCCTTGGGGGAACCAGTTGTGATGATTATGGTCCAACGACCACCCCTTTTAGCTTGAGTTGAGTGAAGTCGACTTGATGTTAGTTTGTCACCCGACTCGACTGTAAGCAGTAGAGCCAGCATTGGGTGGGCGAGTCAGCTGATTCGATTCACTCGTGTGTGTCAGTGAAGAAAGAAACCCCGTCAATTCACGCAGTTTCGCAGGGGGTAGAAGTTCTTCAGTTATGTGAATCCATTTGGTACTACAAATCTGGGGTCAATTCCTCATTTCTGCCATGCAGCTCGAGACCATTCCACCATCCACCAGCCGTTATGATTTTGCCGTTGTTAGTATCCGTTTACTCTCATCACGTTCCTTCATCTTAGGGTAGCTGTTAGTCAGTCCGTGGAGAGTTATGAGAAACAAAAAGATGCCCAAAATTTCAGACTGCAGGTTATTGACAGATTGGATTTCAAAGAACATATTGTGGTGGAGTAGGCTCATCAGTATTAGGGTTGAGCGTGCGCCAGACCTGGGCCAGTTCGGGTCAGGCTAGGGCGGGCCGACCATGTTGGGGCAGAAATGAGGAATTCACCAGCCTGTCCTTTCGTGATCGCACACCTAAGATCGAAATACGAAAGCACAATTGAGGTCGTAACTACTAACGGAGTTTTCTAACACAAGGTGATAGTCGTAGGAGGAGCCTTGGCGGGTTGAAGGAGTTTTAACTTGGGCAAGTTTACTGCAAGGAAAGTTTGTTCGTGCGGGTCAAACATCCAGCCCGCCTCGGGCCAAAAATCGAGCCCGCCCCGGCCCGATCGTTAAAAGGGTCAGCCACGACGACTCGGGGCGCGAAAGCGTCAGCCATGCCCGGCCAAGAGTTTAGATAAGCTGGGGTGAGAAGTGACTCGCGAGTCATACGACTCGCCTTGAGTCACTAGTGACTCGAGGCCTAGAGTCGATCCTCCAGTCAGGGTCGGCTATTCCCGACTCGACTTGACTCGACTCGACTCGACTCGAGAGTGATATCAGCAGGATCGGACAGTGATATCCTGTCAGCTTTCGATACTCGTTTGCACAATAGCTGTTAGTATCTTTCGCTGTTGTGCGATGCCCTCTCTTGGAAACCTTTTCTGTTGTCCATCCGTCCCATGTGTGTGCGCCCTCTCCCCTTGCTGCAGGGACCTTGCTAGCAACAGCCTCTCTGACTCTATCCCTGCTGACATTAGCAAGCTCACCAACTTGCAGTCCCTGTGAGCCCTTGGCAGATAGCACACTTATGCATCACTTATGCCCACCCACAGCACAGCACACTGTTTTTTATGCACTCACGGGAAAGGTGGCGATCTTGTGTGCGTTTACACTGCATTCGTGCACACATGTATGCCGGCCGCAATGCAGGCTCCCAGCACTTCTGCTCATCTCCTGGTTGCCCTCTCAACTCAGTGGTACTGCCTCTAGATCCGCCCCTCTGATTCCTCCACCACAATCGAACTGTGTGTCCCATACTGGCATTCCAGCATTGTCATGGCTTTATGTGCCCTGTCATACACTTCCTGCAGTACTCTGGCGGAGAATTATTTTGAGGGCCCGCTGCCAACGGAAATGTCATTTCTAAAGGAGCTCCATGCCCTGTGAGTCGCACTGCTGCGCTGCGCCTGCTAAATTCACACCTTTCGCTTCTCTTCCGTGTGCAGCATCGCCCCCATCTGATGTGCGTTGTTTCCTTTCCCTCTTCAAGTGCCCAGCTGGGGGGGGAGCACCACATGTGTGTGATGTGAATGTCTGTCGCTGTGTGCTTCCGTTCAGGAGGCTGAGCCGCAACTCCCTCTCAGGCCCTCTTCCACCCTTCCTCGCCTCATTCACTAACCTTGACACATTGTGAGCACTGAGCTTCATGTTCTGTACCCATGCACCACGCACCCTGCCTTATTTCCTCACCTGCTGCAGTCGTTCCTTGGCTTTCGGAATGCTTGGTGAGAGACGAGGCGCATTCACTTGATTCAAGCCCTCATGTGCACGTGCCCTCCCAGTGCACCCCGTCCGCCCTCATTCTCCTCTCTATAACCTCGTCCCTGTCTCCCACCTGTGCTGCCCTGCCTCTCAAGAACCCTTGACTTCAACAGTTTCACGGGCTCGCTCCCTGAGGGCCTGGGTCAGCTGCACTGACTCACACGCCTGTGAGCAACCCCCCTCCCTTTAGGCCACCCACCCGCCTGCCCCGCATCTCCCTCTAGGAAGGCGTAAGGGAATATCCCACATCTTCATTTGCTTTTCCCACATGACACTCCTCGTGCCTTGCCTCCATCTCGCCTTGCTACTGCTGTTTGCACATCTCCATCCAGTAGGAAGCTTGTGCCACAGCGGGTGGCTGGGCTGCTGCCCATGGCAACCTTCTTGTGAACGTTTTTCCTGGTGCATGCACGAATGGTTTGCCATGGCAGTTTGGCGAAGGAGGAGGGGGGGGGGGGGGGAGGAGGGGCATCTGTATAGTAGCGTACTAATGGGAAGGCCATTACCAACCATCACCGTGACACTGCAGGCACCTGGAGTACAACCGGCTTGAGGGCAGCATCGTGTCTTCGTTGGGAGCCCTCACCGACCTGCGCTACCTGTGAGCCAAATAAGGCCATGCTAGGTGCACTGCATGGTCCAGTTGCTTTTCGGGTCCATCCTGCACTTTTTGTAGAAAGTGGCTGTTCATGTCTGACCATTCCTGAGAGTGGTTGCAGTATATGTCTATTTTCGTTGGCCCATGATCATTTCCTCGGCCCGAATTACTTGTAACTCGACCGTAAAGTCGAGTAAACAAAGTCTAGGGTCTCACCTGTACGTATTGAGACACGACCAACTGGTCGTGGCGTGTCGGTCGGGTCGGCAAGATTGGTTGGGTCACAAGTACGACAGCCCTGACCTGGGCGTGTCGGGTTGGGTTATTAGGCTCAGGTCGGGTCAACCTGAGACCTGTCTACCTCTTGTTCGTCGACGCGCGACCCGAATTAACCCATCAGATGCGCGGGTCGACTGTCGAGGTGGCCGATTGAGCAGAGCAGTGGTCAAATTGCTTCGAGCGGTCGAAATCTTAAAGCTTCACGGATCGGCAGTCGAAAGGCGCCGATCCTCGTTGTCCGTCCGCGCAGATAGGCAGTTGAATGAAATGGTCAATTAGTGTGGTGGATCTGCTTTGGACCTGCGCCAACTTGCGCCGACCGGTCATTAAAATCGTGGATCCGCGTGAATTGACGGGCAAAATCGCCTACCTGTGCAGATGGTCAGTCAAAATGGCGGTAAGGTCGACCTGTGAGTTGTACAGTACACATTTTTTTGTCAGGTCGAACCGACTTGCTTTCGGGTCACTACCGACCAGACCCCTATAAGCGCGGGTCGGGTCGGCTACCCCAAGGTCCCGACCCGACTACGGTTCAAACAACCCATCACGGCCTGTACCCGGCGGCACATGTCGAGCAAAACTGGGTCGGGTCGGGTTGGGTCGTATCGACCTGACGCTGATGTCTACCTGTATCCCCCTTGTCACATACCTTAGTATGAAGTAAATGCAAACGAGACAATATGCAATATTTATAGAAGAAGTGCCATGTTATGCCAGGTTACATTAGAGGATGCAAAAATTGAGTAATTATCAAGGACACGAAACTTGTGTCTGTCAACGTAAACAGAACAGTTGAGACTTTGCTCGACTCATCTCGTCTGCTCATTTCTACCTCATGGCATTGGACGACGAGCATGGAGTGTGCGTCCATATGTAGCAGCAGAGTACCGTTATTCCTGTGCGTGTTAAGAATGTTGTATTACTCGTGAAAGAAGAGGCTTACGTACGCGTGTTCTCGCTGGGCCGCAACCTCATCTCCTGGAAGCGGCACCGCCTGAACACTGAGAGGTCGCGAGCCTGCATGATTCTTAGATCGTGGTATGGCTCGCACCCTGGCCTGAGGATCGGCGAGGGCCGCCGCCCGAGAGGGGTCGCAGCACTGGAGATCGCTATTGAGGGCGAGGGTGCGGAGGAGGAGGAGGAGGAGGAGGAGGAGGTGGAGGAGGATGTGGAGGGGGAGGAGGAGGAGGAGGAGGAGGAGGCGGAGGAGGGGAGAGGAGCGGACGCAGCAGCGGGTGGTGAGGATGGTGGTGGTGGTAGCGGGGGTGTGACAGGGATGTAGTCGTGGTTTTGTTGGTGGGCAATCAAGGGGGCCTTTGGTGACGTTTCCATGTTGAATGCTAGGTAGACCTTGGACCATGTGCATGTTTTAGGCCGCACGTTATTTATGCTCATCAAAGTTAACACCGTGAAGGTAAGGCAAATCACTACCAAACTGAAAACCCTTCCACAGGGATGGATTGGCAGTGTTGTAATCATGTGTTTTGTAATGCTAAGCCCTCTGGGGCAAACACGAACGTGTTCCTGGCGAACACGTTCGTGTTCGCCGAGGTGTTCGAGATGTTCGGGTTCACAGGCGAACTTCGAACACCCCTTGGGCGAAACCTGTTCGGCGTTCGGTTCGCCGAACGGCACTGTTCGAGCCGAGGCACGTTCGTGTTCGCCTCGTGCTCATCCCTAGAAGAGAAGGGTGGAAAGGAAGGAGGTCATTGTGGACAAGCAAAGTGATGGTTGGGAAGGCCATCCACCACTGGTCCATGAATGTGGTCTAATTCTCGAATCACCATTTAGCTTGCACTTAGGGCTTCACAACAAGTGGGTACGTGTAGGGTTGAGCATCTGAGCGAGCCTGGTTCGGCCCGGTTCGGGCCGGCCCGAAAGTGCCCCAGGCCGAACCTGTAAGTTGGGGCTGACGACCCGGGGCGGGCTGTACCTTCCCGGCCCGCCGAACTTGCGGCGGCCCGCTTTTGGCCCCCGCAGGCCGAGTCGGCCCGGGGCGGGCCTCTTTGGCCCGCTTTTGACCCCCGCGATATTTGTTGCGGGAATCATTTATGAGGTGCGCGGCGATTTGTTGGAGCTCATTTGGCCGATGGCGAACCGCTGTTTAAGGGATTCGGGAATGCGTCGATTATCCTCCCTTCGTGCGACGACTCATTCCACGTACGCACATCATGGCACCAGGACGAGGGAGGGAATGTAAGAGTGGGGGGGGGGGTTGGCGAGGCGGAGGCAGTGAGGAAGAGGAAGCATCTTCATCATCGAGTGGTAATCCGTTGTAATTGTAATACTGCAAGTGCACAATGCTAGCCGATTGTCCGTGACATATTTTCATCTCTAAAAATGCTGCTAAGAAAAATGTGACTATATCGAAATTGCACCCGGGCCGGGCAGAGTTTGGCCCGGGTCAGGCCATGCTTAGCCCGGCCGGGCCCTTCTCGGCTCGGACATCCCCTGGGCGAATCGGTAGGCATGAGCAAGAGGCGAACACTTACGTCTTCGCGTTCGCCCCTGCACGAACACCGCCGTTCGGCGAACCGAACACTGTTCGGTTCGCCGAACAGTTTTAGCAAAAAAAGGTGTTCGCCGTTCGCCTGTGAAGGCGAACACCTTCGTGTCGGAGGCGAACACGAACATGTTCGTGTCAAACACGTTCGTGTTCGCCCCGGGGCTGCATTCACTATAGTCACACGGTTGTGGATTGTGGATTGTTGACATTTGTTAGGTGGCTGTAAAGTCCGAATCGAGTAAAACTCAAATCGTGGCACATTTCCCCAACCCCCAAGCCTGTCCCGCCCTGCTTCATCCATGCTAGTGCCAGGTGTGTGATATTAGATTTGAACATAAACCATTAGTTTCATTAGAGAGGGAAACAAGCATACATAGTTTGGAAGAGAAGGTTGGAAGGGAAAAGGAGGAAGGTGGAATTGGGGGAGTGGGCCAACCTATGGCCCATTGGGTTGGGTTGACCACAGTTGGGGAAGTGGGGCAACCTATGGCCCAATGGGTTGGGTTGGCCTCACTTTCGGAAGTGAGGTAAGCTATGGCCCATTGGGTTGCATTTGGGGGCTCCACCACAATTGGGTTGGATTGGCACCTCAAAGCGCAAGACTACACCAAAAGTTGGGTGTAGTCCTCCCAACCGAACTGTACACCACAATTGGTGTACTGTCACAAGTGTTGGCATGCTACACAATATAATTCTAACACAACCCCTTAGCATGCTAACACAAGAAGAGAACAACCCGTGAATCAAGGGGCGCCCGGGCGAGCAAGGCCAATGAGACGGAGGAGGGCAGAGTGCGCAGGGCGAGGGAGGGCTTTGGTGAAGATGTCGGCCAAATTGGCCTCGGCCGCAATCTTCCGAACAGCAAGGAGGCCTTGCTGGACGAGCTCGCGAATGAAGAAGTAGCGGAGTTCAATGCGCTTGGAGCGGGCGTGATAGACGGCAGATGTTCGCCCCGGGGCAAACACGTTCGTGTTCGCCCCGAGACTACATTCACTATAGTCACACATGGCAGATGTTGAATTTGCCTCCCCCCTCCTGCCATCTGATCTGACGGCGAAATGTCAGATCCGCGCACATCTGACGACGAAAGGTCAGATCCGCGCAGATCTGACGACGGAATCCTGGATCCGCGCTGATCTAACGGCGAACTGGCAGATCCGCGCGGATCTGACAGTGAAATGCCACGCTAGCGCCTTCGTCTGACTAACCTAAACCAAGAAGATGCGAACTAGGAACACGTATACGACTCGGCTGCTGCTAGTGTAGGCTCGATCTACATTTCGCGTCGACCTAAACACTTGGGTAGCAGGACATTCGCGACGAACACATTCGTGTTCGTTTTTGTCCTGAAACGAACACGAACGTGTTTGTGTTCGACGCGGCTCGGGCTTCGCGACGAAACGAACACCGAACATGTTCGCCACGAACAGTTTAGGCCAAAAAGCAAAACTGTTCCGTTCGCCTCGAACGTGTTCGAGGCGAACCGAACAGGTGTTCGCCACCTTGCTCAAGCCTACGAATCAAGGCCGAGGTCTTGCTCCTTGGGCCCAGGACAGGGCGGGCAAGGTTTGGCCCGCTTTTTGGGGCAGGCCTGCCCGGCTTGACCCGGGCCGAACCCTGCCCAGCCCATGCTCAACCCTAGGTACATGCCCAACTCGATTGTACACCAGTTTTCGTGTTCAGTCAGAAAATCCTAGCGTGCGCCACTATATATTCTAACAGTGTGTCTGTGTGTGTGTGTACGCGCATTCATGGGTGCATTCGTGCGTGTGT